TAAACCGCTTAGAGAGGGCTGGAAGCCCTACGAAGCGGTATATAAGTCTAACTGCTATTGCTATCGCTATTTACCGTAATTGAAAATTGAAACTGACTCATTGGCTGCAGCTACCGCTTCTCCAAAGTTTAATGCTGACATTTCAATACTGTATTATTTTTCAACCTAGGCTCGCACGTGATTTTGATTTCGCAGCCCCCCCTGAAAGAGTCCACAATGCCCCCCCCCCCGAATCCTAGGAATACACTTGAAGGGATAGAGCCGTGCCCCCTATTCCACTACCTCCCCCCCCCCCTCCACGTTTCCTGCGGGGTTGCTAGGAAGAAGTTCAGCCCGGGACTGTGGATTGACGGCGCGGGACAGCAGAAAGTCGAGGGGGGGGGGGGGGGGGTGGCCTGTGGGCGTGGCCGGTGGGCGTGGCTTCCAGCCCAGGGGCAGGGCAGGAAGCGTTGCTGCCCAGCGGAGCTCCCAGATTGAAGCTGGCCGTGCGGGAGGCGGCAGGGCAGGGCAGCGCCCCTCGTTTCGACGTGAGTCGTTGGGGGGAAAGCAGCGGCGGGTCCCGGCAGAGGAAGACGGGCCGGGCCCCCAAGCGCCAAGGCGGAGAGGCTGCTGGCAGTGCCCAGCCCAGCCATGCAATACCACCAGCCGTCGGGCTCGGGCTCTCTGCCCCCTCTCTACGCGCCCACCCCGCTGCTGCAGCCCGTGCACCCCACGCCCTTCTACATCGAGGACATCCTGGGCAGGGGTCCTCCGGGGCCGCCCCCGCCGCCCACTCTGCCCTCGCCCAACTCCTCCTTCACCAGCCTGGTGGCTTCCTACCGGACGCCCATCTACGAGCCCACGCCGATCCACCCGGCCTTCTCGCACCCGCTGGCCGCCGCCGCTGCCGCTGCAGCCACCTACGGGAGCGGGCCCTACGGCCCGGCCGCCGGGACGCCCCTCTACCCGTTTCCCCGGGCCGTCGGCGATTACTCCCACGCGCTCCTCCGGCACGACCCGCTGGGTAAGTCTCGGGGCGAGGGGGGTAGGAGGGTGGGGAACCGAAGCCTCCTTGGCTCTGGCTGGCCTGCTCCGGGATCAGGGGAAAGCGGAGCGCTGCATCGTATTTTTATTAATTTTATATTATTATTATTATTATTNGCTTATGTGTATAAAATAAATAAATAAATAAATAAAAAGGATGTGATGGTTTTTTAAATCACTGGTGAGCAAAGGGCCACAGAAGAAGCTAAGAGAGAGGTAAAAAGGATTTCCTCCTCTCTTTTCCTGGACACTATTTTTTTCAGAAATAAGACCTGAGGAAGGGAGGCAGGATATTAGGGGGGAATGATTCCCCCTTCGATAATCTGCTGGGGCTGCAAATTTATTCAGTAAATGAAAAGAATGACTTTTGAAAAAGCCACCGAACAGGGGGGAAAGCCAATTTAAGGTGAAAAGCTCTTTATCCTGGAATGAAAGCTGGCTAGACAACATGGAGTGTGTGTTTGGCTGGGTTCTCACCTCGCACTAAGCAGGGAATATGGTTTGTTTGGTTTGGGATCCCCGTGTTGGGTTGAGCCTCTACGGATTAGGCGTTAGATTCATCGTGGTTTGTGAATCAGGCCCTAAAAAGTGAGTTTCCATGGGAGCAGATTAACCACAATCACAATCACAGCCGACATGCTAAGGATAAACCAGACAAGGCATCGCATAACAGTGTTTCTCAATTTTGGGATCTTTGAGATATGTGGACTTCAATTCCCAGAATTGCCCAGCCAGCCAGGTTTGAGAAACCCAGACCGTTAAATACATTAAAAGAAGGGGGGAAAAGCCTTTTGAATTGGGAGTAACCAGCTGTAAAATGAGCCCAATTCCTTCCGATCAAAGGCACCTTTGGCCTGACTGAGATAGGAAAGTGACCCATAAAGTTCCAAGCTAGCGGCAAGAAACATGTATCTCGTTTCCTGAGAAAGACAACACAAATTCAGCCAGAATCAGGACTTTATCAAGCTTTACATGGCATGCCAAGGGATGTACTGAGAATGAGTTGGTGGTGGTGGTGTGTGTGTGTAGGGCAGTGATTCTCAACCTTGGCGACTTTAAGTCCTGTGGACTTCAACTCCCAGAATCCCCCAGCCAGGCTACTTCAGCTGACTGCAGTTCTGCAGTTCGGCTGTTCAAATCTCACCGGCTCACGGTTGACTCAGCCTTCCATCCTTCCGAAGTGGGTGAAATGAGGACCCGGATTGTTATTGGAATTGGAATTTATTGCATTTATATGCAATAAATTTATATTTAAAT